GACGTAATCGCACTTAAAATGCGTACTTCAAGCGTGCAGACCCTGAATTGGGACACAGCCAGTGTGTGTGGCGTCGTGTGGGTGAGCAGTTTGCTGATGTCAACGTTGTGGATCGAGTGGCCCATGGTGGCGGTGGCGTTCTGGTATGAGCAGGCGTATGCTATGGACAACAAACACAGGTGCATTTTATTGATGGCATTTTGAATGCACAGAGGTAGTGTGACGAGATCCTGAGGCCCATTGTTGTGCCATTTATCCACAACCATAAACCTTATGTTGCAGCATGATAACGCACGGCCCCATATTGCAAGGATCTGTACACAATTCCTGGAAGCTGAAAACATCCCAGTTCTCACATGGCCCGCATACTCACCAGACGTGTCACCCATTGAGCATGTTCTGGGATGCTCTGGATTGGCGTATACGACAGCGTGTTCCAGTTCCTGCCAATATTCAACAGCTTCGTACGGCTATTGAAGAGGAGTGGACCAACATTCCACAGGCCACGATCAACAACCTGATCAACTCTATGCGATGGAGGTGTTGCCCTGCGTGAGGCAAATGGTGGCCACACCAGATACTGACTGGTTTTCTGCCCCTCCACCCCCATAAAGCAAAACTGTGCACATTTTAGAGTGGCCTTTTATTGTGGGCAGTCTAAGGCACACCTGTACATTATTCATGCTGTCTAATCAGCCCCTTGATATACCACGCCTGTGAGGTGGGATGCATTATCTTGGTAAAGGAAAAGTGTTCACTAACACAGATTTAAAAAGATTTGTGAACAATATTTGTCATGGGTCTTTTGTGTATGTAGAAAATTTTCAGATGTTTGAGTTCAGCTCATGAAAAATGGGAGCAAAAACAAAAGTGTTGCGTTTATATTTTTTTCAGTGTAATATGAAAATGTATAACTTGAAATGTCTGCATAACCCTAACTCTGACACCTAAAAAAAATATGTAAAATAAAAAATATATTAAAAAAGTGTGTGTGTGTGTAAGTAACAGAGATTTACTGACTGAAAAAAAATTCAAAATGATGAATGAAAATAGAGAGTTGTATTTATGTTATTACTGCTTTATAAAAAATAAATCATACATATTTGTTTTTAATTTCAGGATGTTGGAAAAGCAGATGATGTATGTAAAGTTCTCGAGAAAAACTTGAGAGAACAACTTGATCAAGTCAAAAGAGCAGTTGATGAAGCGATCAAGGATTTTGAACATTGTCTTACAGAAGGCGTTAAAAATTCCAAAACCTCTGAAAAAGACTGAAATTTTTTTTGGATCGTGATGTATGTATCTTAATTATAATTAAATCAAAGCAGCAGATTTTGCACTCTTTATGAGCATGCATTTAAAAATGTTTTGCTGATTTGTTTTAGAAAGAGCCCAGTTTTTTCAGCACACTACAGGCTGTAGTTAAGAAGGATGGCATCCACACAATAAAAAAAACCGGGGAACAAATAGACCTCAACATGATGTTGGCTTCATGCCTGACTGACAGCATTGATAAAAAGTTCAGAGAGACCTTCCCGTAAGAATAAACAGAATAAATAATAAAGTGTTATCATATTAAGTGTTTTTCTCTCTCTCTTTCTCTCTCTCTCATATACATTATACACATTATTCACTTGTCAATGCTGCCATCAACACTATTATTCTGAAACACATTTTTCAGAAATGACATTAAATGTGGATCATTCAAAGGAGCCATAAGTAGGTTTTCACTTGGCACCAATTCACTGATTAAAAAATACAATGATGTCGAACTACAGCTGATATTTCTTCAGACACAGGTACACTGTCTAATTGTAAATTCTCCTGTTTATGATTCCATTACCATCAAGATTAATATTTACACAAAAAATAGAATGTGTAAATATTAGTATGTTCTGCTCTAATTAACTTTTGGAGAAAAAAATAGAATCATCTCTATTAGCTTGATCTCTTGTTTTTTTTTTTTTAAATACATTTTTACCAATGTTTCCTATTTCTAAGGAGGACAAAATGAAGGCTCAAATGGAGAAATTCATCCTGAAGCAGAAGAAGAAAATCTACACCAGTCTAACAGAGACAGTTAAGGAAAACATGACAAAATGTTACATTGGTAAGTTGACACATTTGCATTTATTGTGAATGTAGGCATTCATCGCAATTATGCATAAAAAGTTTTGGGTTCTTTTTTGTTGCAAAACCTTGTGTCTTCTTGTAGAAGCAAAAAAAATTGAGAAAACTGGAGCACTGGAAAACATGAGGAAGACTATTGAGAGACATGTATACTCAAATAAGAAAATGTATGAGGAGGCAAAAAAGACCATGTTGATGAAGATGGATGCATTGAAGGTTTGTCACATTATATAACATACCATACCACCTTTATTTATAAAGCACTTTAAATTAAACCAGGGTTCCCAAAGTGCTGTACATATACAAATAGCATAAACTGAAAAAAAGAATCAAATTTGTTCAAAATAGAAAATTAGAAAAAACATAGTCTAAAGTTATCTTGCAAAATGTTCTTCGTTCACATAAAGGCTTCTTTTATATTTCTGTAATACATATATATCAGAATCAGTACTATTGCCCAGTCTAAGCAGAATGTAAACCAAGTTCTTCTATTTGTTGTTTTTTGTTTTTTTAAAACATTAGTGAGGTGGCTGTTAAATTTGTACTGAGTGTTACAATTAGGACTCCAATAGAAGAGTTTAAACTGAAAAAGGCTACTTTCAGCACTTTAATAATTCTCACTCTAAACAAACATGTAACCAGTAATTCAAGTCTTTTTTTTTAACTCATAATTTGGCTCTGTGAAAACTAATAAATGCTCTTATGTTAAATTAGAAAGTCATGCTGTTCACGCTTGAGAAAATCATGAAGGAAGCCATTGAATTCTCACTGAAGACTGCTGCCTACTCACTCCCAGGTAAACAGAATATAAAGTAAATCTTTCATGTTGAGTACTAGGAATCCTGTATGTATTATTAATAAAATCACTTTGTTGTTTTAGATGTTTCAGAGTATCTTGAGACTTTGACAACACATTATAATCAACTTCAAGGTGGTCAAGATGAAGAAATGTTACAACAGTAGCTGGGTAAAAATAAAAATGTTATTATTATTTTTGTAATACTTAAATTAATCAGCTTTGATTAATTAAGGCCAGGCAGTATATCCCGCATAAAGACCTGGAAAAGCTCATCCATGCCTTTGTAACCTCGAGGCTGGATTACTGCAATTCACTCTATTTTGGTCTCCACTCTGCCCTCCTTCATAGATTACAGACAGTCCAAAATGCTGCTGCACGCATTCTAACCAAAACTAGGAAGTTTGCCCACATTACTCCCGTCCTAGCTGATTTGCACTGGTTGCCTGTGAAATACCGTATCCAATTTAAAATTTTGCTGTTTACTTTTAAAATCACTAATAACACAGCACCGAGCTATCTTAAGGAACTCCTAAGCTCATATGTTCCTGCTAGGGCTTTAAGATCATCCTCACAGTTACTGTTGGTGCAGCCTAGATCTCGGCTGAAGTCTAGAGGTGATCGAGCGTTTGCTCTGGCTGCACCAGAGTTGTGGAACAACCTTCCGATTGGTATCCGGGCGTCTGACTCTATTCAATCTTTTAAATCACGGCTTAAAACGTATTTGTTTAATCTTGCTTTTTCTATGCTGGCCTTGTTTGCAGTGAGTTTTTATATTAATTTTCCTATCATGCTTTTATTTGCGCTGTGTATGTCATATCGCCATTGTGTTTTGATGGCATAGTTATATTGTGCTATAGTTATGTGCTATAGTTATATTTTTCTATTGGTGGCTTTTTCCTGTGAACATAATTTTACACTTTTATTTTTTTATGACTCTGATTATACTTGTGTTCATTTGTTTTATGTTAAGCACTTTGGCATGCCGTTGGTTTTTAAATGTGCTCTATAAATAAAGATTGTTGTTGTTGTTAACTGTTTTGTGTTTAATTACATAAATATTGCTTTTACTAAACTAGAACTTATATCCCTGGCAAGCCTGATTTGGATAATCAGAAGAAGACATTGATTTATTTCTGCATCACATTTTAGCATCTTATAGTATATTCTAATGTTTTAATTGCATGTGCTAAGTCTTAGTTCATTGAAATGAGAGCCATTAGTTTATGGATATGTTTTTCAGTTTTATCTTTGAGCCTTATATAGCACAATATTTTTTATTGCAATTTCAGAATCAGAATTTTTTTCCCTGCATTACATTGGTTTCTTTGGGTGTCATGAATAATAATACACCAGCATTACTATCAGCTTCTACTTCAGCTACTAGTTTATAATTTTATTTTTTGTTGTTTCTAATTTGTATATGCATGCAAACATTTAAATTTTGTATACGGTTCAATAAACCTTGATTTAAGTGTTTTTGTAAGATGAAAATGTTTTTCAAACCTTGTTCTTGTCCTTTACTTGCCCTAAAACTAAGCTGCTTGGTAAAAACTACTTACAGGTTGCAAGCTTCAGCTAACACTAAATTACAAGCTGAGATATGCATTTTAAACTAAAACTAAACACTATATACACATACGGCCACTTAGAATTGCCACTGTCAGCCTATTGTCAACTGCTGGGAGTCCCCCTTCCTTCTCCTGTGTATCTCCTGGGCAACTGCAGTGTGATAAGATAGCCCTTTGTTCACAAAACTTTGACTTGGAAAGTTACCTATGAAAGATTTCCTCAGTTTTATTATAATTTAGTTTAATTTCACATTCTTTTGATAGCTTTTTCCCTCTTCACTCATTAAAATATAAAAATTTAAGTTTTGAAATTGTAAAATATATGAATCAAATTTTAGAGTCAGTTTCACAATATAATACTGCAAATCACCAAAACTATTTCCACTAAACAGTTGTTCATTTATCCATTTCAATTTAAGCTAATATATAGATACAAATTAATTGAAATAATTTAAAATAATTTAAATTACTAAAAGAATCAAATACAGAAAAATAATATTCTTCCTTATAGATCAATAACAATTGCTGCTACTTTAATTCCCTGCGTATGTTGGGCCAAGGAGGAGGAATAGCTACGATTTTTAAAGTCATTTTAAATGTAAGCAGCTATCAACCCCGTCATTCACCAGCTTTAAACTGTCTGTGTTTCAGCTGGGCTGCTCCAAAATAAAATAAGGACTTTGTGAATGACTTCTTGGCTGAATACTTGCCAAAATATGATTGTGTTCTTATTGTTGGGGATTTTAATATTCATGTGTGTTGTCCTGATATGCCCATGGCAAAGAGCTTTTTAAATTGATTCTTTTAATCTGGTGCAATGTTTGACTGGTCCCACACATGAACGCGGACACATACTTGATCCTGTTTTAACTCATAGTTTTTATGTTTTTAACGTAGAGATTTGTGATGCTGTGTTTTCTGACCACAGTCCTGTAATGTTTGAAGTTCCTCTTGCCTGTACCTCAGTTAAACCTCATGCTGCTGCTGGGTTTTCAACAGTTTTTAACCAGAACTGTACAATCCCATAGTTTTTATGCAGCCAGACTGAGGAACTGAGCTCATGGTTTTATTCCACCTGTTGGACTGCTTTGGACACTGTCGCTCCATTAAAAACCAAACTGCCTAAAGCTAAATCTGAGCCCTGGCTGAACGACATGACCCAAGCTGTCAGATGTGAGTACCGTCAAGCTGAACACAAGTGGGAAAAGGACGAACTACAAGTGTCATTCGAGATGCTAAAGGACTGTTGGCTTCAATATCAAAAAACTGTAAAAGATGCCAAAAGAAACACATATCTGACATTATTCTGTCAAATTGTCACAACCCGTGTGTTTTAACTATTAACTCTGTTCTTAGTGCACCACATATCGACTGTATCAAGCCCTCGTCTGAAGCCTGTGAAAATTTTTTACATTTTTTTTATTGAGAAGGTCTCCTCCACAAGGGCTCAAATCTTGCCTTGTGCTCATGACCCCTCAGTCTCTGCTTCCTGCTTTGCTGTCCTTGACAGGTTTGAGCCTGTGACTATGTCCTTTTTAAAGGAGACTGTTGGTCATTTTAAGCCTGAGGTTTAGAGGTTTTCCGCACTCTAACCGTGTGTTCACACCAAACGCGATAGAGGCGGCCAGAGCGTCAGGTTTACATGTAAAGTCAATGGAAAAAGCGCGATGTCACGCGATTTCGTGTCCCGCGAAAATTTGGAAGCAGATTTGCATCACGAAAACGCGAGAAACGGGCGTCAGTGTACACGTCTGGCGCGTTTGGCTCGCGAATAAAACCACGCGCGTCAGTTTTTGTGTTGCATTTTGTGCATACGCGTGTTTCGCGTCTACCGCTTGAGTTGGAAAAATCTGAACTCCAGCATCAAAACACGCCACGACAACCAATCAGGAGCCTGGTGATGTGGCTCTGACCTTGGTCAAAGGGGCAGATCCATCAACACTGTGGTGAAAAAGGCCCGACAGCGTCTCTACCACCTCAGACACTTGGGAGACTTCCGACTGCCCTCCAAGGTGCTCAAGAACTTTTACTCGTGCACCATAGAGAGCATCCTGATGGGGAACATCTCAACCTGGTTCGGGAACAGCACCATGCAGGACAGACAAGCTCTACAGAGGGTTGTGCGATCAGCTGAGCACACCATCCGCTCCGAGCTCCCTGACCTGCACTCAATCTACAGCAGGCGGTGCTGGACCAAGGCCAGGAAGATCGTGAAGGACCTCAGCCATCCCAACAACAGACTGTTCTCTCTGTTGAGGTCAGGAAAGCGATTCCGCTCCCTGAAGACCAACACAGAGAGACTGAGGAGAAGCTTCTTTCCACAGGCGATACAGTCTCTCAAGCACACCACCACACAGTAATGACCCACACATACAGTTCTTACACACACACTGGACATTCTGGACATTTGTTTACACTAGTGGCCACTGCACAACTACACTGCGTGGTCATCAAATCAAATCACTCACTTAAATAAATCACTTTTAAGCATATTTGCACTGCACAAGACACTTAAATATGTGGATTGCACAACCCTGGACATTACATTTCTTTCATTACCATTTATTACTCGTACAGCTGCTCTTAATGTTCTATATTTCTTCATATATTCTTTTATATTTTCTATATTGTGTATTTTGTGTACTGTGTATTTTGTTGTACAGTTATTTTATTTTTAACTTTAATTTTTATCCATCCATCCATCCATTTGCTTCCGCTTATCCTTTTCAGGGTCGCGGGGGGCGCTGGAGCCTATCCCAGCTGTCATAGGGCGAAAGGTGGGGTACACCCTGGACAGGTCGCCAGTCTGTCGCAGGGCCAACACATAATTTAATTTTTATATTTTATTTTATTCTTTCCTAGTTAAATTTACCCTTCATTTTAATTTTCATATGTATTTTCTATCCTATTCATAGTCTTTTATTTTAGGTCACGAGCAGTTGCATTTCACTGCATATCGTATTGTGTATGACTGTGTATGTGACAAATAAAATTTGAATTTGACAGTCTCAATGGAGGATTTACCAATTCGGAACCACGATAACTTTTCTGGCTAATTGGAGCTGGCTCGGACCTGGCTTATCGAAGAACAAGAAGCAGCTACAGCTGTTCAAAATCCCACAAGGCCGGCCGACATGATAGACGATGGGCAGGGCTTTGCCCTAAAGGCTTTTTATATAGTGTCCTGGCACACTGGCCCAGGTGTTGCCAGTGTCACTGATTGTAAATGGGAACTCCGCCTCTTCAATGCCTGCAAACAAGACACACATGAGCCAAAAGGAAGGCAGGGTGCAGTGGGTCGTCACAGTGGGAATACACAGCAGTAAAAACACTGTAAGTTCAAACAAGGATTTGATCAGTTTGATCTCCTCACTGATAAAATCCATCAAATATGATTAAACGTTCTCGAGTTAACAGGAAGTGAAAAAGCTATTCCAAAATAGTTATAGAATCCGGTTGTGCCCTCTTGCACCTGAAGCTGCTGATATAGTAATAATTTTCAATGTGTATGCACTAGCAGTAACAAGAAAACATGTATCATGAGGATTGATAAGTATATCAATAGAGAGTGTGATAATGGCCTAATCATCCTTGCATAAAAAAAGCAAAAAAAGGAAACGTCTTCTCAGATGGTCATGTGCAGGAAGGCATTGTTAAGAGCAAATAGCTAAAGGACGTGGTGTAGTACACATGGAAGGTCTGATAAAAGTAGAAAATAATTCAGATTCCTTGTCTGTCCGTTCGACAATCGCACCACTTGTGGGAGTAGCTTAAGACCATTCTCTGGACTCAACAGAGCAAAGCTGTGGAGTCCGACTGCCAAGGTCAAGCTGTCTGCTCATAGTTCTCATCACTGCCTCCCTTGTCTCAACAGAAAATAAATCAATTATGTTCCAAAATTAAGAGGCAGGAGCCAAATATAATCTGCACTAGTGTTTAAAGGTTTATGAAAAGGGCTGGGTGTTTTGTGCATTCTTGTGATTTTGCAGAGCTACTTAGGGAAATCTTCCATATAGGTCAATCTCCAGTTGCACATAATTTGAGTGCTGGCCATTTCTGTGTGAAGTTTGGACACTCTTCCCATTTTCACAGGGGTTTCCCTCTGAAGACTCCACCTTCCTCCCACTATCCAAAGATGTGTCAGACACTTCACATTTCAAATTGAGCATTTTAATGAATTAGAAAATATTTCAGAGATCAGGAATATTTATGGACCCCTTACTCATTTTGATAGATGAATTAATCATTTAACTCGCAAAATCTCATAAAACAACCAGCAACACATCAAACATCTTTAAGCAATAGTCACAATAATGTCCGGTTAAACTCTCTCGATGTACAAAATGTTAGCTTGTTGTTAACTTTGATGTGAAAACCGCCTCAGCTAATGATGTTGACAGAGCTGGTTGTGTGCTAGCAGGTGAAAGAAGAGCAAAGAGAGTAAAAACACACACACGCAAACACACAGACACATTCCTGTGGGATTAGTCAAAAGATTATGAGCAGAAGTGTTTCCCATTCAAACAGGCTCGAGAACAGGAAAAGCTCAGGTCATCGGCCTGGCTTTTGGTTATAGCTTAATATTTAAACTGGGTGCACGATGGATTGAAAGTGAGAGTATCAGTCATTGCTGTAATAATAAGGCTCGGTAAGTCGGACAGATCTATCTTGGCTGTACCCACACACAGCATAACACAAACACACTCGCTCGCTCAGCCTCCTCTCATGTGTGTCTTTCTGTCTGTCTGATCTCTGTAAGGTAACTGGTCACTGAGGCAAGATTTATAGCTAATCAGTCTGTATCGGCAGCAGTCTGCCATGGGCCGAGCCAACTTTAGAACATTACGCATTACAACACAGGCAAGGAATGATGTCAGTAAGAAATGAGGGATAGAAAAGGGGGAGGAAAAGAAAACAAGGCAAGATGGGGGAGATTAAAAAGGAAAGAGTAATGCACAAATAAGGAAACGATAGCGTAAATAAAGGTAAAGATCGAAACAGAGCTGAAAAGCCTGATTTAAAGAGGTAAAGAAAGAAGAGGAGGATGCGGGATAGGTGATTTGGAGGGGAAACTGGAGCTATTGATCTCTCACAGTACTCACATATGCAATTCAAATCACAGCAAATATATTCCTTTCACAATACTTATCTTGCTCAGTATGTCTTTGCATTCATGTATGTTCAGCAGTGAGAAAGAGAGATTAAAGGAAGGTTAATTTGTACATGTCTTCATGTGAGGGAAGCCAGCGCATTTCCTC